ACCCTCCCGCCTGCTCGGCCCCGGGTGTCCCAAAGTCAGCCGCTGCTGAAACTGACCAGTGGCTGACTACAGGAAGCCCCTGCCCCGGGCTTTCTGGAATCAGCCACTGATCAGTTTCAGCAGCGGCTGAATCTGGATGCCAGTTCCGACTTACATACAGATTCAACTTAAGAACAAACCTACAGTCCCTATCTTGTATGTAACCCGGGGACTCCCTGTAGTGGGAAGCAAAGTAAAAAGTTGCATATTGGGAAGAGTTAAGAGATTTACTTTTACTAAATTTGTATTATGTTAAGGTTGTTCTAAAGCTAAAATCAGGTACTGGATGCTTAACAGAATAATTTCAAGTCATAAGTTTTAGACTCCCGAAAATAAATATGTATTCCAGCAGCCCTAGAGTGTTAAACCAATGAACTTGCTTCTTCTTTATCCTTTAGATATACATGTAAAAGAAAAATTTTCATTTTTTCTTACTGTGGAAAACTGATAACTCAATCAAGAATATCTTAACAGTGAACTTGTAAACATTTTCTTGATATTCTAAATGCTTTTGCAGTGCAAATAGAAGGGAGCAAAACTTGTTGAATAGGTGGCTTGATGTACCATAGAAAGGATTTATGAAAATACTTATCATTCTTTACCATCTTCTTTTTAAGGGCCTGACCAGATTCAGGCATTGAAATTCTGTCTCTGTTTAGCTGGGAAATGGCTAATGAACACTACAACCAAGGTAATGACTGACACCAGATCCACAAAAAGCTGAATATATAGAGATGATTTTTTTTTTGTAATTTGGATTATAAAGTGAGATCATGTCAAACCACCAAAGACTTTTTTCATTCAAATTTTTAAAAACCTGCAATATAAAGAATATAAGTTGTTGGGGTTTTTTTTTTTTTTAAATATAAAGTACACCCATGGAAAGTGACTGGAAAAATGGCATCTAGAACAGAATTACTCAACAGAATTAATAATTTGCTTTCAATTCCAAAACTTACTTCTGATTAGTGATGTTAAATGCCATCTAATTGGTTAACCGGTTGAACATACTGTTATCTGGCTAATCAATTAAAGGAGAGTCCAGGTGGGAGGCCACTCCAGCCCAGCTATGCTGGAGCAGCACCCAAACTGCAGGCAGGAGCTGTTTCAGCCCAGCTGATACAGCCCATGCTGCAGGGGTCGACACAGACAGGGGCTCCAGATGCTGGAGCAGTCCCTTCCTACAAGGTGCCTGGGCCCACTGTGTCCCCTCTCACCTCCCGCAAGATTGGAGCAGCCCCCTGCCTGCGAGCAGGTGGGGAGCTGTTCCAGCCCCAACTAGTTAATCTTAACTGGTAAGCCTTACCTATTGTGGTCAGGCTTACTGGTTAACCAATTAAACATCCACATCCCTATTGCTGACAGATATTTTCTAGCATGCACATTCCTAACTCAGCTCTCAAATTCTACGCTTTCTGGGCTGGCAGTTGGAGGACAAGGTAATTAAGGGGAAACTTGCTGTGGAGTCACTGAGACACAATGAATGTAACATCAGATGTACATTTTTGGATATTCATATCTCTGATTAGAGCCACTCTTAAACTGAAGGTTTATAATGCTTCCTAGGCTTATAGCTGAACTCAAGTTTTCTTTAGAATTATCCAAACCCTTTCCCATAGGGTCTCTTATCTTCTATTACAGAGAGACCAATTATGTTTGTTAAAATTATTGGCAATGAATAATTTTAAATAAATGGAGATGCCTATCTCCTAGAACTGGAAGGGGATCTTGAAAGGTCATTGAGTCCAGTCCCCCACTTTACAGCAGGACTAAGTACATCCCTGACAGATTTTGCCCTAGGTCCCTAAATGGCCTCCTCAAGGATTGAACTCACAACCCTGGATTTAGCAGGCCAATGCTCAAACCACTGAGTTATCCCTCCCCAATAATGGTGCATCAAGGTCTAAGAACTCCAAAAGCAATAGACTTTGCACAGTAGTTCAACTGTTACATAAGACTGACTCTAATAGTGTTTAGTCAATGTATAATTTTGTAATCTTCTAAGGAAGGAAGTTTACTTAAATTGGTTACAAATGTTACTATTTTTTAAAAAGGAAGAATCACATGATAAAGCTGAAGTACTGCTGAGGAAGTTACGTATGCAGTACCAGAGGTCAGCCACAGAAACTGTACTAATAGCCCACAAATTAAATACTGCAGACCATCTGAAACTTACTGGAATGCCAGCAGATCTTGTTGTTTTACTCTATGAGCACAGCAGTATAAACCAAAGGATTCAAAATCCAACTGGCAGAGACTATCCAGGTTAGTAAACTTTCTCTAGATCTCTGAGGGTAAAAATAGATCTAATTTACAAATCTTGCTGAGGATTTTTAAAATAATTTGCATTTTCTTTATATGTAGATATTCATGCAGCAATAAAAGAAATAGCTGAAATTAACAACTTGGATATGAACAAAATCTCTCATAAACTGCTAGAAAAATGGCTGTATCTTAGTAGATCATCAGATGTAAGTAGAGAATTAATGAGGGAGTGACCTTATATTTTATAGAAAACTATTATTCTCATCGCCTCACAAATAATGGTTATGGATGTTGAGAAGATACATCTTCACAGCTCTATCTAAAATACTTCAGATTTTCAGCCAACTTTGTATTTAGGTCTTTCTAGTTTATTATATATGATTAAAACAATTTGAAATGGCTTTCCTTCTACTCTGTATAGAGATCAAGTCCCTCATTCTGTAGTCTGGCTGTTCTCTTTAGTACAGATTCCAGGAAAGGTTGGAAATGGTAAAGATAACTTTATATGCCCTTGAGCTTAGAGCTGGCTGGGAGGTAATTCAGCTCCTAGTGCAAGTTAGAGCTAGGTATGTATATGGTTAACCAGTGGTGGCTTGCAGCTGCCACATCTGAAGGGGGGCAACCCAGGACCAGCCAGAGCAGTGCCAAGGGGGAGGCTGGCCCAGCCTGCCCACCACTGTTAAACATATTGTTTAATTGGTTAACTAACTAACTAAATGGGTTTTTACATCCCTAGAGCAGTGTTGGGCTTGATTTGTCCAATATTTTCTATTACATGTCCATCCCAAGCAAATGGGTAGACAGGGAAAAGAAATTGTGGAGGCTTCGTTTCATCATTCCTTATTCTCAACACACCAGCCAACAACGTGAGAAGTTTTTAGGACTTAATGAAAGGATATGTTGTGACAGTCAAAAATTTATTTCCAGTGCTGCTTCTGGGGTGGCACAGTTATGCACCCGCCCCTTACATAGGATTTGAGCAGAGGCTCAATCTAGGCCTTGAATTATTTTTCTTCCTTAAAATTTACAAAGTCAAACAATTGCATAACTATTTTCATTCTCTTTTTTTTATATAGAAAACTCAGATCTTTGAAGATGGAGAGGAAGATGAAGAACTCAGGAAGTATGTTAGTTTTTGATATAGCTAATTTTTGTTAACTTATGTTTTAATGATTGGTGGCCTCCCAGCAGATAAAACACAATACTGCAGCCCCTGATCAGACAAAACTGTTGGCTATATAGGAACACTGGCTTAGGCAAGACATTCACTCTTGGGCCTATAGTGCTGCTGTTTTTTCAAGTCTGATCCTGCTGCCCTGCCAAAATCCAAGTGGATGCTGTAGATTAATTGATGATGGTATGTGCAAAGCTGTATGTTGGATTTGGTTCAACAGATGGCACATTCATATAACTACTTCATTATGAGTTAGACTGGCTTCTTGAAAACCTGCTCAAAACTAACTTGTAAAACTACTAAATAGTAAAGAGTCAGCATGCACGGTTGTTCAGTAAACACCAGGGACATGGAAGAGTACTATGTTGCACATATTGTATTATCCCATCAGTATTTTCTTTGGACATAAGGCTTGAATTTTCAAATGCTTATTCCCAAAGGAGTTCCATTCTTTATGAAACTATATGTGAGATTAAGTATTGTGCATGGAAGTAAGGGTTTCAATGACTGGGCCCATAGTTTAGTTGTCATGTATGTATGCTGTAGGGCTGTGTTATCCTATAATTCATATGAATAGTAAAATATATTTAGACTAAAACTGATATGCTGTATTATAATACAAAGTCTAAGCAACACTGTACTTTTATTAAAAACATTTTCAGAGTTATATATCTACTTCAACAATGGCCAGTGGATTACAGCTCAAGAGTGCTTTTTGCAATTACAACATCTTCCACATCCGTAAGTTTAGAGACTATTTTTAAAAAAACATTTAAAGTGATTTCATCTTTATTATACTTTAATAAATCTGTTTTTAAAGTGGTATTAAATATGAGGTTTTATTGCTTAGTTTAGCATTGTGATGTAGTGGGGGGCTGTCCACTTGTTGGTCACTATGCTTGGGCTGTGGGCAACCCCTAATAGCCTGTGTCTGTGAGCACTGCCCAGCAGGGGGTTGCCCCTAAACAAAAGAAGGGGATATGTGTTCGGTGGTTTTGGGAGAAGGGTTTTTTTTTTTTGGCTGGAGTGATAACCACAGCACTCGGACGGTGGTCAATGACAGAATCAACCCTGCACATCAACATCTTAGAACTTCATGCAGTAGAAAAGCATGCGAACACTTATTGCCATCAATTCAGGGCAAGTCTGTGAGACTACTCATGGACAACACTGCATGCATGTATTACATAAACCGCCAAGGTGGAGCCAGATCTTATCCCTGCTGCAGGTAACACTGTGGCAGTGGGCGCATTCAACATCACATCACCCTATCAGCAATATATCTCCCAGGCAACCAAAACATCACTGCAGATCACTTAAGCCGCATATTTCACCAGTAATATGAATTGGAGATACATCCTCAAGCCCTACATTCCGTTGCCCTCAAGTGGGGCTTTGCAGAAATAGACTTATTTGCAATATCACAGAATGCCAAATGCCCCAAGTTTTGTTACAGGGCAGGGCTTGGCAAGGACTCTGTGAGGGATGTCATGATGATAGGCTGGCCTCAGTCTGCTATATACTTCCATTCGAAGTAGGTGTGCGCACCGCGTGCACTGCGTCTTCCGGAGCGTTTTCCGTAGCGGTACCCATAGCGCCGGCAGGGCGCCCCCCTGGAGTGGCGCCGCCATGGCGGGGCATAAGTCCCCCTGCCAGTGCTCTCCCACCTCAGTTTCTTCTTATCACCCGTGACGGTCGTTGGAGCGTGTGTCTCTCTTACATCAGTTAATGGTTGCCGTTTCTCTTACTGTTGTAGATAGTTCTAAATAGTTCAATTAGTTAGTTAGTGTCTCGTTGTTTTCCTTCTCCCCCTTCGGGGGTGAGGAATGCCAGGGCCGCAAGGCTTTAAGGCGTGCACTGTCTGCACAAAGTTCATGCCCAAAGGAGACCCTCGCGACAGTTGTCTGAAGTGTCTGGGTGAGGGCCATCTTACAGACGCCTGTAAGATCTGCAAGTCATTTAAGCCGCGCACTAAGAGGGAGAGAGACTCTCGTCTAACACTTCTCCTCGTGGAGGCGGCTTTACAGCCGGCACCAGCTGGGCACCTCCTCGTGGAGACGGCTTTACAGCCGGCACCAGCTGGGCACTCTGCGGTGCGCAGTGCATCGGCGTCCACGCAAGATGCTCCATCTCGGGACCAGGCCTCAGCGTCGAGGGCCCAGCACCAGTCTCGCTCTTCAGCTCCAAAGAGGTCAAGAACATCTCGTGGTATGTCTCCGAGCCGGAAGTCCAAGTCGAGCCTACACCGTGGTGCCGAGTCTCCGGTGCACACGTCCTCATACTCTGTGGTGCAGCGTAAGCGAGCAGGACGTCCATCCAGTCCAGGGCAACTACCCTCGCACCTCCCCTCCACACCGAACACCTTTGAGGGGGCGCTTCAGCTCCAAAGAGGTCAAGAACATCTCGTGGTATGTCTCCGAGCCGGAAGTCCAAGTCGAGCCTACACCGTGGTGCCGAGTCTCCGGTGCACACGTCCTCATACTCTGTGGTGCAGCGTAAGCGAGCAGGACGTCCATCCAGTCCAGGGCAACTACCCTCGCACCTCCCCTCCACACCGAACACCTTTGAGGGGGCGCATGACCTTATTAGCCTCACTACCTCCCCTACCCCGTCGTTAGGCCGTGTGGGCGCCGGCTTCGCCTCCGCACCGGCATGACTGGATAGCACCGGTCGCTTATGCAGCAGGACCGTCCCCTGTGGGACCAGTCCCGCTTGCCTTCACGTCAGTGCTGGCCTCGGCGCAGGCCGCCAGGCTTCACTCGGCGCTCTACTGGGCTCGACCTCCCTCGGTGCTGGGTCGCCTACTAGACCCCGTCTTGGCTGCACTAGTGCCGTATAACCCTGGCCTCACGGCAACATCTACGGCACCATCATCATCTTCGATACCAGCGCTGAGCAGCTTTCCCAGGGTGCCGTTCTAGTCATCGGCACTGGGCCCTTCAGCATCAGCCTCTTCAGCACCAATGCACATTTCGGCACCGTTACAGACACCGGCATTAACCCAGTGGGCCATGCCGGTGCGGCACCGGGACCGGTCTTCCCGGTGCTGCAGCCAGCTCCACTCACGGCACCGGGACCTGTTCTTCCGGTGCCACACCAGGCACCGCAACAGGCGCTGGCACGGGTCTTCCCGGTGCCGGCACGCCCTCATTGAGCGCACTCGGGCAAATCCAAGTCTATGGCCAGGTTTACTCCCCCATCTGTGGCAGGTCATTCATCATCTGCGCCCCCTGGCCGGAGTCTGACTACTCATCAGATTCTGATGCAGCGTCGTTCAGGTCGGAATCCTCAGGAGCTTCCTCAGTTCATAGGTCCCATTCCTGGCACTGGCTTGATCATTTGCAGGTGCAGCAGACTTGGCCGCCTCAACCACAATGGCCCTTCTGGACGCTGTAGGCTTACCACCAGTGGCAGGGGCCTGGGGCCACGC